TTTATATATATTTTATTATATTATTATATTTTTTTACATATATTTTTTTATATAATAAAGATTTGATAAAATATTGTAAAAAATAATAATTAATTTAATAGTATTTGAAAAAACTAAATACTAATCTAATAATTTATAATTATAAATATTCGAAAAAAAATGAAATTCGTAAAAATAATTTGAAAATCTTTGGAAAATTCTGAAAATTTATTGTTATTGAAACTAAGGAAAAATAAAGAAAAAGGATGTTAGAAACAGTATTGAATAAACTGATTCAATTCCTGTTACTATTTTCTAAATAAGCATGTTAACATCTGAGAGTATTCAATTTCTAAACAGCAAGGTTATAAATAATCTGCTGAGTAACTACTCTGTTACTTTGAAAACTATGGAAAAGGCAAAGACACAACAAAGTTATGAACATAACCTGCTGAATGAATACCTGTTACATAGGAACACAACAGAAAAGATAAAGTATCGCAATATAAAAATTGTGTTATTCAAGAAAAAGGATTCTACCCTAATCTATAATTTAACACAACTAAAGGGACTCAAGAAGTTTCGTTGAAGTCTCAGACGACCAAAACCAATATACTTACTTGAGAAATAAACAAGTTTTGAAAATTTCTGAAAAATTTTTGTCTTCTAAAATTTCATGAATAATTTTTAAAAAAGTTTGAAACAAGATAAACAAGATCATTTAGGTAAATAAACAAAATTATTTTGTGTTACATATTTAGTCTATTAAATGAAATATTACATTTTTCGTAATATTTTGTACAATAAAAATTTTGAAAATTTACAAAAAGCTTTTTGTAATATTCTGTAAAAATTAATGAAATCTTTTGATGTAAAAAAATTTTGAAGATTTACAAAATTTATGCAAAAATTTACAGAAATTTTACATTCCATAAACTTACGGAGTTATTTGTCCTTAAAAATTTTCTGATGTATAAAAAATTTCCTGATGTATAAATTGTTTAAAGAGAGTAAAAATAGTTATTTTGAAAATAAACAAAAGAATACATAGTTAAATAATAAGTCATATGAGATAACTGATCTTGTTGCACAAACAAAAAAAAATATTTCCCTTTGAAGAAAATTTGAAATGATAATTAATGATATGATAAACTTCAAAGAATATTGATATCAATTAAAATATTGTAATAAACTTTGAAAGATATTGTTAACAATACAATGTTGATTGAAAATTGTAGTGATATAAATGTAAGTGATGATCATCAAAATGATATATTATGAATATCTAACATAAACAAAGGTTATTGATATGAAATTACTATGAAATGATAATATTTACAAAATTTCATACATAAAGATATCAAAATCAATAACTTTCAAAGATTATCAATACAAATTTACTATGAAAATGATAATATTTATAAAATTTTGTACATGAAAATATCAAAATGATAATCTTCAAAAGTTATTAATATGAATTTACTACAATAATAATAATATTCACAAAATTTCACCACATGAAAATATCAAAATCGATAATTTTCAAAGGTTAGCTAAGACCTTCGAAGGATAATATATTGAAAAACAGTAAAATACTTACATTAATATTAACTTTAGAAGGTTTTCACTAGAAAAAATTTCCTGATGAATATTGATTATTTCTTCTAATTCTGTTATTAATTCTCAAAATAGTTGTCTATCTCCATTTGTAATTGAAAGACAGATTTTTTCGAAGTTAAAACCTATATATTTTGAAATCTGATTGCATAGTTTATAAGACATTTTTTGTCACTATAATATGTAATAATTTTGTATATCTGAATAAAAGTTGATTAAATTATCTTTCGAATCCAGTATAACCTAATTTCTTAAAAAGTTTGATGCATAACAAGTGGATATTTACACAAAAAATTTTATTTAACCCATGATATATTTGAATTATACCACATTGGATTATTATTAGAAGTTTGTAGAACATGTGTAATTATGTAACTGTACTTGCTGTCTATATAACCTGCATAATATAAATAACCACTGATTTACCTAAAAATAGATGAAAAAGATTAACCAAACTTCTTTACTTTTGATACATATCCACATGTTTTTTGTGTAATCCAATTTCTCACATATACTCTGATTTAGTATTTTTTTTTTGTTAATTTTTGTTTTTCACCAATCATGAAACTCACCTTTCCATTTTGATTCAGCTATAATAAAAAAATCTTACCTATCCTTGTGCTGTTTTGGATATAATGCTATTTCAAGTTGGAATGTTTTTTTCGAGCAACATATGAGCAAATATATGGAAGCATATGAAAATATGTAAAGGTCCGTAGTTCAAGAACTTATCTGTTTTATGTGGTTATTATGCTGAGAACGGAAAAAGTATCAATTACTAATCTTAAAAACCTCGAATATACTATCCTAAAAAACTTCGATGATGATGTACCCAAAAATAAGAAATTCACCGAGGTGTAGAATGTGTGACAATCAGATTTTTTTCTTGCCCGTGATGTTGTTTTGTACTCCCCCGTGATGTAAGAATGTAGTTTTCTGATAAAAAGGCGCCAATCATGTTGTGCATCATAAACAATGTCATCAAAATCGAAAAGAAAAAGTACAGTCATACATTTTCGTGCATTTTTTATGAAGAACTCATATAATTAATGAAAAACCTTCTTTCGTAGAGGACGCACCACCTACTGTTGCTAGCACATCTAGTACATCGACACAAGGCAGAGATGCCATGATTGTTGAAAATGTTCCTCCTCTACAAAAGGAAGAATCTATATCCAGTGGTAAAGTAGGATTTATTACAGTAATATTTCGTAGATAAGTCATTAATTGCTGTCTTCGAAAAAAAAAATAGGCTTCGGAAACCTTCAGTTAGGCCATAAAATCTGGATCAAGTATGGCGACAGCCGACCTGTTAGACTTACCTTCGACGGAGAGATTGTAGACGATTTGATTAGAGCGATCAAAAAGGAATTGTCACCCGATTTGGATGATGTGGCCCTTAACCGCATTACTCTAAGAAAACACGGTGAAGATGTTGACTTGCGTGCGGATTTAACTGTCGATGAAAGTTTTGTAAATACTTATGATACTCCTATACAAGTCATTGTAAATGCATCTGGTATGTATTCAAGTTCATCGGTAAGAATTAATGATTAACAGGTTAAAAATTGCTTTACGTTTTTGCAACATTAACTAACTTTGGCTTTTACAAGTGACGTCAAAGCGTAAACATGAAGAATCAGAAGATTTAGGTGTGATCGTAGAAAATGCAGTAGAGAATGCATTAACACGTCAAAAACCTGCTGAGATAATCAAAGCATCAAGTCTTTCGGAAAATAAAGCAAGAAATATAATTGATTGTTACGGATTAAAATCTTTAAAAGTAAGTATACACCTCCTGTATTATTTAATGGTTTTTATTATTTACTATTTTATCCATTATTAGATCTCAGCGGAAGACTTTCAACCTATTGAACCCATATTCTGCCAGCCATTCGTATGGGACATGGAAATTAATGAAGATCGCCAAATTTCCGAAGTGGTGGAATGGTTTAAGAATGCATTGAATCTACCAGATGGTTTTCACGTAAAGGATGACCATAAATCAAATTATCAACGACATTTACAAAGTGCCAATGTCATTTTAACGGGTTGTGCCGATATTTCTATTGGACCAAGTGATACCTCCTGTATTTGGATTGAAACTAAGAAAAAGGAGGAAAATTTTAAAAAGGGTGAAACTATCGCAGAATTATTAATAATGGATAATGAGTGCGCTCCAAACCCTATGTCTGTCTTAACTGATTGCAATGACAATTGGATTATTTTCTTTTTTTTGGAGACAGAAAGCCAGGAACGATATTTAGCATCATCTATAATCAATGATCGCAGTATGCTTTGGCAATAATTAAACAGTTCGTACTTGATGAAGGGAAACCTGTTCTTGAGGTAATTGGAAGAATTTTTACATATCAAACAAATTTAACCGAACCACTGAAAAAGAAAACAAAGTTTCTTGCACCTATACCCGAAGAGGTTGGTGAAAAAATGGCCGACATAATCAATGATATGACGGAAAAAGAATTACTTAACATGTCAATGCGAAATAGATTAAAATTAGTAAAAAGTATTGTTAGAATAGATGAACAACCAATCATAGATAATTATATAAGGCAGTTCAGTGATGATTATGAAATCCACCACTGATGTACAGTACATGTGCGATTTAACCAGGATATATCCGCGGATCTCCTTGGATATCCATACCTATCCGTGGTTATCTATGGCACGCCAAATAGGACATTAAATTCACCTTCATCATGTGCGAAAGGAAAACTAAGCATATTGGAATATGAGGTAGCTATAATACAAATTAACCAATTTAAAATTCTAGCCTAAGAATGCTAAACTATCAATTATGTTATTTAGAAATTTTAAATAATATAAAAATATTTTCTAAAATGGTAAAAAATTTATTTTATTTTTTATGTATTTTACACGACTAATGGAGTCTCATCTTTATCCATAAATGATAACTACATATATAGTAAATATAAAGTTGTACAAAAAGAATAAAAATTGACTAAGACAAAATCTATCACCCGACTCGCCGTCACCTGAAAGGAAATCCCATAAAGGAGGGTAAGTCGCTACCCGTAAATCGATTAACACAATAACACTATTCATCGTTTTATTATTACTTAGTGACCCTGTAATTTCAAATCTTCCAAATACCCCGGAATATCTTCATCTTTCATTTTAACGATATCGTATAACGAATTCTCTATAATTTTAACCCCTTCCATGAGTTCTTCTTCAGTAATATTTAATGTTGGTGCCAAACGAATAATATTCTGGTGGGTCGGTTTGGCCAATAATCCTCGAGATTTAAGTAATAGACAAATTTGCCAAGCCGTTTTATTGGACTTGGTCTCATCGATCACCAGGGCATTTAATAGCCCTCGGCCTCGCACTGTTTGAATAAGTGGCGAATCAATTTTACGTAAAGCTTGACGAAATTTTTCGCCCAACGTAGCAGATCTTTCTACCAGGTTTTCCTCTTTAATTACTTCTAATGCTGCTATCGCTACCGCACAACCTAATGGATTTCCACCATAAGTTGAACCATGTTCTCCAGGTTTGATGCATAACATAACTTCTTTATCGGCTAGAACTGCAGATACCGGATAAACACCACCCGAAAGTGCTTTACCTAATAAGGTAATATCTGCTTTAATTCCATCATGTTCTTGACAAAGCATTTTACCCGTGCGAGCCAAACCAGTTTGAATTTCATCGGCGATTAATAAAACGTTATGCTTTTTACAAAGTTCATAACACTTCTTTAAGTAATTATTGTCCGGCACATTTATACCGGATTCACCTTGAATTGGTTCAACCAAAAATCCAGCCACTTGAGGACCATGTTTTTCCAATGTTTCTTCCAAATCTTTAAGTGAATTAAATTGAATCGAACGCCCAGTAACTGGACAAGTTGAACCAATACGTGGCATAAAAGGACCAAATCCCGTGCGGGAATCGGAGTCATTTGACATAGAAATGACTGCCATTGTACGACCGTGAAAATTGTTAGTACATGATAGTATTATTGCCATGTTTTCCGGGATTCCCTTTTTAAGGTAACCCCATTTACGGGCCAATTTGATGCCAGTTTCTACCGCTTCGGCCCCCGTATTCATGGGTAAAACCATGTCATAGTTAAAATACTGAATAAAATCAAAAATCAAAATAAAAAAATAAACAAATAAATAAATTAATAAAGAAAAATTAATAATTAATTAATAAATGAATGAATAAAATAAAGTTAATAAATAAATAAAATTTACCTCAGTTATATATTTAGCATAAATACCAAAAACATCATTATAAAAAGCTCTAGAACTCAAAGTAAGTTTTTGTGCTTGATCACATAAAGCTTTTACAATTTTTGGATGACAGTGGCCTTGATTCACAGCAGAATAGGCACATAAGAAATCCATATATTTGTTTCCTTCCGGGTCCCACACATAAGCTCCTTTACCCGAGGAAAAAACAACCGGTAAAGGATGATAACTATATTTTTAAATTTATTATATTAAAATTTATTATGTTTAAAAATTTTAATATTTTTTAATTAAATGAAAATTACCAAAGCTCACCACAGTAATTTGTCACCACTGGGCAAAATTAAATTTACGTGACAAAGCTAGTTGATCAGGAAATTATTTAATTTTGCCTATAGTGGTGACAATCACCAGTGGAAAGCTTTAGCAATACCAAAAATAAAAATAAAAATAATTAATATTAATATTACTTATGAGCACTATAAGTATTTTCAAGTTGCATCAAATTAGCGCTTGTTTTTTTTGAAGAATCTCCATTAAAATTAGGCATCGTGAAAATTTTTTGTAAAAAGGAGGCGTGGGGTGAGTCATCTTTTTATAGGAGATTTAAGTTGATTTTTTTTTTTTTGGACATTCTTAACATTCTTAGAGTATACCCTGAGTCTAGACATGCACCCTATATAAATAAATTTATTTAAAGTAAAAATCACAGGATAAAGCCTATACTCCAGAGAAATATGCCCTTTTTTAAAAAAAAAACTGGTCATGATCAAATTTTCTATCCTAAACTGGCTCCTTTATATGATCAACAAGTGAGAAAAAAAATATTATACAGATCATTTGTTGATTTGTGTAACGGAGAACCTAGTTTGGGAAACTCTCCCCAACTCGCATACCTGCAATTCGTATTTGTTGATTCATAATGAAGATATTGTTCAAATTAGCTGACTATTTAGTACTACATTCTATATTCCATATTCCATATTTACATTCATTTATACTTTATATATTCCATTCTAAATTCTGTATATTCTATATTAAGTATATTAATTATATTAACGTGAGAATATATATTAACGTGAGAATATAAATTAAAAAGTACATTTGTATCCCCCGTTATTATTTAATAATTCATTTATTTCTGTTAATGCCGTTATTATTATTGTTACCATTACCACTACTACTACTATTATTATTGTTGTTATTATTATTGTTATTATTATTGTTAACAGATGATGATAATGATTCTTTGGTTGACCATTGTTGTTGTTGATGTTTTTGTTGCTTTGAATATTTTTCTTGTGGTGGCGGTTCTGTAAATTCTTTATCTTGACTTGGTAAATTTTCTGGTGGCGTGGGTCTTGGTTTATTCCTGAAATATGAATGATTTAATGCCTATAAGAAAGAGTATTTTTAATAAAGAGAAAGAATAATTTTAATAAAGTGAAAGAATGATTTTAATAAAGAGAAATAATAATTTTAATAAAGTGAAAGAATGATTTTAATAAAGAACGATTTAAATAAAGAGTTATAAATGTACCTCACGAGCTGTTATTCTTTTATTAGGATCATACACTAATAATTTTTCTAATAAATCTATCGCATCATTTCCTGCAGCTGTAAAAAGTTGTTTAAGAGGTGTCCGAGCATATTTTTGAAATCGAACATTATTCGATAATTCCGTAAATCCCTAAAAATTTGTATAATTATAATTAGTATAATCATCTTCCTACCGTAATCGTTATTATAATCATTTATAATAATTTATAATCGTACCGGCCATTCATCTTCAGTTGGTGTCCCTAATGCTGAAAATATCGTTTCCAATTGTCCTATATCTGTTTCCCCAGGAAGATATGGTGTTCGTAACATTAATTCGGCAAAGATACATCCTACTGCCCATATATCAACTGCGTAACTATATTGTGAAGGTACAAAAAATAATTCTGGAGCTCGATACCACCTTAAATTAAATTAAATAATAATTTTTATAACTTTAATTAAGGATTAAATCGGATTAAATTGAATTAATTGAATCAAATCGAATTAATTAAATTAAGTTAATTAAATTGAATCAAATCGAATTAATTAAATTGAGTTAATTAAATTAAATTATTAAATTGATTTAATTAAATTGAATTAATTTTAATGTTATACCTTGTTACAACTTGAGGTGACATATTCTTGACATGTGGGTCTGAGAAATCACGCGCTAAACCGAAGTCGGCAATTTTTAATTGACCATCTTTACCCACTAACAAGTTATTGGGTTTCATATCCTTTTTTTTTTTTTGAATTATTAATTTTTTTTTTTAATTAATTTTTAAAAATCACGAAAATAAGTAATATTAAATAATAATCAAAATATAATAATAAATAAAAAATAATAATAACCATACACGATGAAGAATCCAATTTCGATGACAATGTTCCAAACCGCGTAATGTCATCAGCATCCAACTCTTAATATCAGCCGACACGAATACAAGACTTTCATCCTTAATTATCATTTCTAAATCTGAATCCAAATATTCCAATACAAGTTGTAAATTTGTTTGATGTGAATAAATATCAATTAACTGTATAATATCATGTATTCGTGTATTGTGTATAAATTAAACGTAAATTACAGTTATATTTATATATATAAAAATCTTTTTTATAAATATGTATTATTTTCTAGTATTACTAAACCTCGATAATGTTAGGATGTCTTAATTCTCGTAAAACTTTTACTTCTCTAACAGCTGATAACTCTATACCCTGAAAACCAATTTCCGTTTGTACTAGCTTAATTTTTTTAATAGCAACCATACGTCCAGTATCGCGTTCAATACCTAAAAAATGATTGAAATAAATAAAAATAATTAAAAATAAAAATAATTAATTAAATAAATACCTCTATACACTTTCGCGTATGTCCCTTCCCCGATTTTTTTCTCTTTGGTATATTTACTTTCGATCTGAAGTTCTTCGTCTTCTGGTGGTTGAATAGATAGTTTCTCTGACATCTTTAATATTTTACACCTTTATTTACTTAATTTTTTACATGTAAAAACTAAAAGCCTTAAAATGCTAAAGTACTTGTCGATTTGTATAAACTAACCAATAGATAATGAAACCCACATTTTTATAACTGGACCCTTTTTAGGGTACCTAAATGTTACAATTAGTTTAAAGTTTAGGGTTTTACCTTTTGCTCAAATAGGTTTCACCCAACGAAATCTTACCAGTCACTTCTTGACTTGTTAATGGAAGGTCCAATAACTTAAGATTAAGCCAATCGGTTAATTCTGATAGATTTAATGTAATCATTGCATATTTGGATCATCAAATTCGAATAAAAATTTATGACGGGAATTGGCCTGCAATTTAAATATATACTTCGTGCCTTCATTATATTCTGCCACACTGCGCATGAGCATACCAAAGTTAAAAAATAGAAGCCGATGTGACTACGAATTACTTAGATCACAATGTCATATGACAATAGTGTGATAAACTTTATTTTTTTATGTAATAGACTTGAACGAAACTATACTACAAATAAAGACAAACTGTCTCTCGATATATATTATTTTATACAGACCTTCTACCCATCAAGGAATTCTACTATATTTTTATCCTTACACTTTTTAGTCTCTCTGGATCCATATATAGAAAACAAAGTAATTCAGATCATCATATTTTGTATTCTTTAAAATGAATTTTGTTTGTTCCTCTGATATCACATCTAAATTATTCTTGAGTATATTCTCTATATAACTGAGGATCTGCTAGTTCTGATAACATTGTTCATAATCTTGCATACATCCATAGTGAATCTTTTTTGAATGTCTCACTATATCAGCTTCTTTTCAGACACCCATAACATTTCATCATAGCAGATTTGTGTTCAAATAATTTTCTGTAACTAGAATATTGGAAGAACTTACTATTATTGCAACTCTTATATCAAGTCCATCTTGATTTTCATATGTTATGAGAACTCTCCATCCATCTCATAATTCCTTAAGCTTATCAACCATTGGAAATAGATGATGATTTATTTGAACCTTATCAGCCTCCTTCAGTTCATGTAGAAACCTAAATAGATATTATTTTCTGGTTTATTTCTTTCTGCCAGTGGAAATAACATAATTATGTTATTTCCACTTAGTGTAGGTTATTCCCTATCAGAATGACATGTTGATTGCAAAATTCAAGTCATTCGAGTGATGGGTCAATTGCAAAATTCAAGTCACTCGAACTGTCATATATCAAATTGGTAATCTACCTGATTTCTATCGTCATATCACATA